CACGAGAATAGGCTGTACTGATATCCTGAGACATGAAGTCTTGATTGAATGATACTATGCCGAAAGATGCAGCTTCTACATGGAGTAAATGAGTGGTGTAAATGGCATTACCCTCTAACTATCCTATCTCCCTCATTACACCGACATTTTGATACATTCCATCTGAAACACTAATCATTGCAACCAATATGCTAAAAGTGTGTCGCAGTCAGATCACATGAGGCGGACACCAACATAACCAGCCAAAAAGTGGGAATTTCCCTCAATCTAGATAACATATAATACAATTTTATTAAAAATTATTGGCAAAAAAAATTTCCAATAGGAATTCAACAGTACGTGATAAATAAGTCCAGCCTTATTGCACATTTCTATCTAATAAACAGGTGCTGATATTCTCTTAGTCTTTTTGTAAATCTATGCAACTAGCTTCTTTGCCGCCCATGCAATGTGATTAGTGAAGAGTTACACGTTCTTTAGATACCATAGGGACCCAATGTTTGATTCACTCTAAAAATAAATAGTATGTCAATGTAATCAGTAAAATGAAGGGGTCTGCATAGATTGAGTCTGAAGCTTTTATTCGAGGTGCGGTTTCTTATTTATGAGGTCAAACTCCTCCATTTTTCAGAACACATGATTGTAAAGAAGATTCCAAGGAGTAGTGATTTAGAGCCTTTCACTCTCACTGTGCATGTTCGGTTACAATCTTCATAAGAGGCCTCCGGTGAGTATTACACCTCCTTAGTCTCCGAGAATGATATATTGTGTAGGACCTTAAAAAAGAACATTACCTTAATAATAAGTTGTCCCATCAAGAGCGGGTCAAGATTCAGAGGTATGCGCCGTGAAATGTAGTCTTTCTAACAGTTATATCCCAGTAGTTTGGAAATGGGGTATCGCTGAACACTTTCCATTTTCAGCTTGTCACGTGTATGAGTGATGCTAATAATATATGGAAGGTGTTCTAATAATAGCCTTACACATGTTCTGCATAGTGTGGGCCTGGCCTCATTGCTGTGAAAGCTTCTCAGTTTGCGTCCTAAGAGCATCGTCGACTTTCAAGTCTGCCATGCAACTTGCTCAGAAAGTGTTAGGCCACTTGAGTACCTCGGGCCTAAATCGACGAAACTTCGGAGTCAGGATACGTTAGCAGATTGAAGCTAACTTTCGATTGAGCGTGCGCTGAGGCAGATCCAACCACGTTTGTTCAGAAGGAATTGCAGATTCCATAACGATGACCACGCAGTCACTTTACATAGTCCATTCTGGACTAAATTCTGAAGGCATCCTAGGTCATTACACTGGAAAGTATAAGCTAGGCGGCCTGAAAAGATGAAAATGTTGCCATGTCGGAATCAGTCACATACGTCATTGATATAAAGTGTAAATAGGGTTACCTTGAACTGCATCAGGAATGTTTGTGCTTGATCTAGAAGTGAGGGACCTAACCATCCGAGATCTGTTCTTAAGGAAAGATTTAGGCCATGCCAACAGTGGGTCACGTATTGCAGAGTAATTTAGCTTCCATATTAGTGGCGAATGTTTAGCGCGTTCCAATGCTTTGGGGATATCAGTGTTAGGCAGAGTACTGATTTATTGGAGAACTAGGCGAATTAGGTTTAGCAAGGGCTGGTACATTGTAAACTAATAATAGCATCACCAGAACCCTAAAAGCTAGTGAACAAGACAACGAAACATAGGTCTTACTTGCCTACCTAAGGACTTCGATAAAGATGGTCTCCATGGGTCTCAGCAAATGCATTTTAAACACAATGGTTTCAGAAAACAGCAGACGAAGTAATCTTTTTGAAATGATCACCAAAAATGGCGTAAAAGTATGATACATGAAGGATTATTAGTTGAATGCAGTTCCGAAGACCGTAGTGAATACGCTAAGACTACTGCTGTAGAAGCTTTAGAACGGATTGGTGCTGCACAATTCTCTTGTCCACCCATGTAAAATACTAAGTTTTGTCATGCTGGAGAGAATAAAAGATGCACTGGATGTGGAAATCCACCTGGAAGTAGCTAGGTTTAGGAAATGCATATGATGTACTGATCAGACGGTAACTCTACGCATCATCATCGAAAAGAGCCTAGAATGGCAATCCGTTCTCTACCTCAGTTTATTCGACCTTGAAAAGGTCTTCGGAAGTGTTGACCACAAAGTAATATGACAATTGCTTCTACATTACGGAGCGCCCCAAAACTTTACCAAGCCCATTCAACAGTTATGTGACAGAACAACGTGTCAGGTGGTCCACAGTGGAAAACTGAGAGAGGCGTTTGAAGTGGTCAGATAAAAGAACAGACAAGCTAATACAACTGACGACATTTCTGAATGTTGCAGACAGGATTATGCGTCAGACTGTAGAGAACAATAAGACAGGAATCTGCAAGACCGGAAGTGAGACTCTGGAAGAACTGGACCTATTGGACGAATCATGCTTAATATCACATAAACCCGGAGACTTTGTTTTGCCACTACAACACACTATGTCACGGCCAGTCAGATGTATTAAGAAACTGAGGAATTCAAAAGGATAGGACGTGTAAGTAATTCGAAACTACATCTTCCTCATGATTTGTAAGGCTTTCTCTATCTGTTAAGTGATGAATGCCCTTTCATATACTTAGCTAGTTTTTCGCCTCTTCACTTGCTCTCTGTCATGCTTTCGAAAATAAATGTTCGTGAAAACTATTAGTCTTCCACTATATGACGTGTCGTCTGCCGGTAATCTGGATCATTACTTGATAAAAATGTTGGTTCCCGAAAGCTTACGGACGAGAACCAACAGGTTGACAGAAGAATCAAAGAAAGGACCTCAAATGGGCATAGAGAACACTGAGGTTATGAAGATACCTAACAAACAACAACAAGTATTAGTCATCGTCAAGGGAAAAAATTAAAGAAAGTCACTTCGTTTACTTATCTAGAAAACATTTATTCAACTACAGGCTGCCTGGATAGGTGTAACAAAACGATTCAGGGTCTGTAGAGCCTTCATAACCCCAAGACCAGTTTGGAAATCCGCTGGACTCATCATGGAGAACAACATTCGCATTTTTAACAGCAATGTTATGTCAGCGTTTCTATGAATTTCGGAGACTTGTTCTGTCACAGCAAGTATTTCCTTATAATACCTAGGCGTGATAATTGTGGTTCTCTTTCCTTCTGGGTTCTCGCCGAGTGTGTATTACGCCTGTATCAACTGTAAACATGCTTTTTAATTTAATTCGTACACTTGTATTATATGTTTACACAGACCGATTTTATATGTACTTCGCAAACGTTTGTCAATTTACTGTTGAACATTACCTAGACAAAATTTCAAAATTTGACTACTGTTATAATACACGTTCGTACTCCTCCTCAAGTCTCTTTTGATTTATGTTGTGGGCGTCGAGCAAACACGTTAGGACACAATAATAAACGAGAAGAAGCACTAGAATATACGTGTACGCAAGTTTAGTCAAATAACGCACGCAACAAGTTGAGGAGATAGAAAAGTTCATGAGAAAAATGGGAATATCTGTTTCGTAGTCTCTTAGGAAGTTAATAGAACTTCGGCGTGGTTCATGGGTTTTCAAATAATTCAGGTAAAAGGCTCTAATATTATGTCTCAGTGAAGGGAGATGACGGGGCATGCGTGTGGGAAGCATGTCGGAAGTGAAAAAGGTCGATAACACCACAAACAGTCTTAAATATACTGAAATATATGGGACGGGAAATTTGTTAAAATTCGATGTTTTACCGCGAAACTTATCGATCATATTGGGTTTTTATTGAACCCAGGGAACAGTTTTTTCACCGTTCACGGAAAATTTACTTCTATATTCTTGCATATTTTTTTTTGATTACAGCTTGATTCCACACTGTATTTTTGGTACAAGTATGGAATTTTCAGCATGGATATCGGTAGCCCAAATTTGAATCAGTATTATGAAACGAAGGGTTACTGCTTGCAGGATCTAGAGGATTTACTTCACATGAAGCCAGGCCTGAAGTACGTTTTATGAATGGATAACTTATATGGAAAGTGGTCGACTTAGTTGTCTCATAGATAGCTAGACAGAAAACCAATGGATTTATTCTTCACATAACCTTTGCCATAGACCACTATATGTGTTACTTGTTCCTTCGTTCCCTAAATATTGTCGTTTCCCTCAGTAAATATACTTTTCCATCTCACATCGTTGTATTTTTGCTTAGGTAGAGGGCTGGAAATCAGATATTCGTTGTATAAGGTTGGTAGCTGATAAGCGGCACTCATGATCACCACGTTTATTACAATCTCCAGAGTCCCTATCCATTCAGACAACGTTTGCAATATATAAAATGGTACACTATAGTTTCATCTGGCTTTAGTGTACATGTGAAAACAATTACTGAATTGAATTCTTGATTTTCAAGAATTCAATTCAATGATTAATATGACCCGTTGCACAAGAGGTGGCTCTCCTGGCCCAAGTGGTCTAGTGGATAACGCTTTGGCGTTTGAAACTATGGGCACTGGGTTCGAGCCTCGGTGGGAACATCATCACTCACTGAGAAATGCAGGTACATCCAGCTGACGAGTCCCAAATAGGACGAAATGCGCATCCTGGATTCCACTGCTAGCCACCATCCACCAATTCTATGTGAAAACAAGGTTGCCTGAACACTCTAGGCAGCGTGGAGGCTTAATAGCGTTACACACTTTGTGCCTAAGGATTTGTCACTGTCACAGGTATAAAAATCCTTTTAGAGACATAACTGTGTTACACATTCTATGGGTATATAGAAAATATCCAATAAGCTTTTAGTTATGGCGTATAGGGCAGTTTTAAACAACATTATGTGCCAGTTGTGTGAAAATTGTTTCGAAGGATAACTGGAGAAGCGTAAACCGAGAAATTAGTGAATTAACCTCAAAAAGTATGTATTTTGGCTCTAGCATCCTTCATTGGATGAGGCTGTGAAGGCGCACTTTGTGTATTAATTGCGCTACGTAGATATGGTTCACATGGCGGGTTGGCCGAAGGGTTCGGCCGATAAATTCCTGCATTCCACACCTGTTGCTAAGACAATAACTCTGTAAGTAATATTTATGAATATTCTTGTTTTGTCTGAATCCTTCTGAAGAAACTTCCTTATATCCAAAGTGCATATAATCATGCATACATCTACATGTATAGCCATTCATGCAGGCATATTCGGTGTGAAATTGCTCACAAAGATTACATAAAAGCAATCCTTCAATTATAGTAATATTAAGTCGATTAGCTTGTGTTCATCATTGTCGTGGGTTTATCTACAGTTTCCGTTGATTGCGTCTTTCTTAAGGCCTTGGAAAATCATTGAAATCTCTTCAAATCTACAGACTATTTGTGAATCCGGTTCTTTATTTTACCAGTTACATGTTCAATTATCGCCATCCATATCCGAAGTTTTTTGGTACTCTTTAATCGATTCTTTCGAATATCCTTCAGCGATTATAAGTGACTCATGAAATAGTTTCGTGATTGTGTCTTATATTCTTGTTATCTTTAGTGGTGTTTTTGGAGCACACCTTTATTTATATTGTAGAGATCCATAATACGTTGGTTTTATTCTAGTTCGTAGCCATGCAGTCTAATGTCTTAGGCATTTTACTACCTATTTGTAAAAGCATTGGCATTTGTCTTTCGCTCGCATTCATTCACAGGCAAGTGTAACCCATAGCTGGTTGCAGGAAAAACCTGTCCTAATTAGAGAGGAAACTTAGTAGTTCTTTAAAAGTCTTTTCAAGCTTTCCGCCATTATCTTCAGTACGCATTTCGTTATTAGGGATTCAATGCCTACCAAAAATGTCTTCCAGTCTATAAGGTAGTTATATAAAATTGTACAACTCTCCTCTCCATATACATATATATATATATATATATATATATATATCGATTGGCTTGATGTTTAACATTTCATTATGACCGTCATACTGTTGTACCAATTGTCACTCATGTTTCTCATCAAATAAGTTCTTCAACTAAATTTCCACACCCATATTTTAGACGAACTACTGACATTTTCTTCGTTATTTATCTTGTCTATTAGATATATCTTAATTGAATAGTTTTACTCACTAAGCAACAATTTAATACTCATTGTTAACACTGAAAACCAAAGGATTTTATTACAACAAATGGCAAAGTTTAACTGTAAGCATCAGTAATTGCCAACGGACGTATGGCCTTGAACCCACCAACCAAATGATAAAGAGCGGCTTTTGCGTATAAAATACATGAATAATCATGAAAATAGTGAATCAAAAGGCACGAAAGTGTTATACAGGGTACCTTTCTCTGACGTGCGACTAAAATACCTTTCACTTTTGGATTGAAGTGTCAACAGAATAATTTAACCACATTCTACATGTGTAATTATTTATTCTTCTGACCCTAACAATAACCCTAATCTTTCACCAACCTAGGTCTGACACAAAAATATCCCTAAACCAACCCTAATGTCGCACTCGTTAGGTTAACCTAACCCCAATTTGTCTTTAGCGTAGACCTTAATCTTTCCCAAACCTAACCTGAAACTTACAGGATATCCCAACTAATATCGTAGCAGTGCATTAAGCATATTTTATTCATGATTACGATATTATTTACCAGGTCTCACTAACTTGCCTACTGAGTGTCAGAGTCATTGGTGCGGTTGTACTCCGTTAGTATTTACTGGTGCTTAAAGCTTAACTTGACCCAACAAACTAAAGAATAGAAGTAGGACTATGGGTATGCAGATTCAAAGTTAAGGAGTTACATTGCATTCTGGATATTATCTAATAACTACTTATATCCCCTTATGTATTATACCTAATTACAAAAAAATCAAATAGGAATAAAAGCTTTGACGGTGCATTAAAAACGTTACTTCTCTCCATCATTAGTGTAATCAGTCATCTATACTTTATTTGCTCATGATCGGTAATCGCTGCCTAACTGAATATAGCGTACAAGCCTGGTGCGTTATTATGGATGTGTTTAATCGGTTGCAATTAGTAATATGCAATTAATAACGACAGAAAGCCATCACTTTTTTGTAATTTACTGATATACCGAATGCAAAATTCATTTCATACAGGCTCATCAAATAAAATATTATCACATGTTAAAGCAAGGTATTATTTATGGAAAATCATACTCTAACCATTCGTCAGCTGTTAGTTTTCTTTTACCACACAATTAGCGTGTTTCATAGCCAGGTGCATAAAGTCTGTTCCATGTAACTGAGTCCTAACGGTCCAAAAATGTGGTGCTAACTTTAGTCATAAAAGATGTTGTCTCACTCATCAACCGTTTACATAAGACGGTCGATGAAGATATAATGCCATGACTTATCCCATTATAAATTTGAAGACACTAACCGGACTCCAAGTAAACATAGAGAAAATAGAGGTGATGAAGATTCCTGGGCGACACCAACAGCAACAACAATCAACATAAATGGAAGGGACCTGGAAGAAACAACCTTCAATTACCTGGGAAGCATTGTTTCAACTACAGGCGGAAGTGATGTGGATATCAAAGTAGCGAGGATTGGGAAAGCAAGACAAGCTTTCATTACTCTCAAGTCTGTGAGGAGATCAACAGCACTCAGCATGAAAATAAGATCCGGATTTTCAACTCCAATGTGAAGTCAGTGCTATTTACCATACGGATCAGAGACTTGGAGCCGCGTCACCAAGGCCAATTCGAACAAACTACAGACTTGCATCAACAGCTGTCTTCGCTCAATACTTCTCAAGATCAGACGGCCTGCCAGAAAAAAATCAGCAACAGGGATCTCTGAGAGCGAACCAACCAGCAACAAATAAGCAGGAAGAAATGGAGGTTAATTGACCTTCAAACCATCAAGTGACATCACTAGACAAGCCAATGCTCGAGTTGAACCCGAAAGGTAAGCTGTGAGTTGGTCGTCCAAGGGTGACTTGGAGGAGGTGATGTGAAGAGGAGATGAAAGCATGTGGGTAGACCTGGACTCAGGTGAACCGAAAGCCATGGAGACGTGTAGCTGAAGCCCTATTTTCCTCTAGGAATTAAAGGGAATAATAATAATCAGTGAACAAAGCGAATGTCTTTGCGATAACTTCTGTAGATTCTACATTTATATATCGATAATAAAACGCAATGAGCTCGACAAGTGACTGCAGCTTTCGACCTAGTGTATAATCAATACCAGCTAGGCATAAGTGAAACTTACTTCTCGTGCCAATAGAATTTATCAGATTTCAGCAAACGTCTCCACTAAAGACTCCGTGTACCTTGTTACACATATGTTATGTAATATATATCTACATATATCGCAAGTGTCACAAAGAAACCGTCGTAAAAACATAAAGACAAAGAGATAATGGCTCATTTAGAGGTTGGAAGATATTGGTTTTGTAGGGATTTTGTTTGATTGCATGGAAGATTTCATCATGAGCTGACATCAGTTAGAGAACCACTGGAAAACCTGGGAGTACTGGACGGCTGTTTTGTCCTAGTTTAGGACTCCGGTGGGTGCGTACTGCTGAAGAGTCCCAAACGAAAACAAAACAGCTGTTCAGTACTCCCAGATACCATGTTTGTTTGAACTCAGTTATCTGGGCAGAATTTTCATGTACCAGGCAATAAGCCACAAACTGCACAAGGACTAGTGATAGCACCCTTAGTTGCTCAGGCTAAAGTGGATGAAGCCACATTCTAACCTGGTACCAATTGGCTATTAGTCAAGTACTTAAAACAATGAATCACATCTCCATAGACTGACAAAATTATATTGATTAGAACACACTGTTACGTCATCTTAGAAATAAACTAACAGTAACCGAATACATTCTGGTAATCTCAGCGTTTATAGGATGAATAATACCAGTAGCAATAGTGATATATGGTTAAAATTGAAGTAGGAAGATCCGTTGTCTTCTGATAACTACCGTTAGCAAACAATAAATAAATCTGTTAAATTCTGATTTATTAACGCCTACTGTTTGTTTTAAATTCTCCGGAACGGGATGTTTCATGGTCTGAAGATAATCACAGTGACAACATAATGATAATAAATTTCGTTTGTTTGTCAGGTCTGAAATAATAACTGAGAATTCAGTGTAAAGCGTTATTCAGAAGGGGACCGGTTGAAGTTGCTGCATATCCAAACTCTGACAAATTAGGAAAGTAGAGAAATGTAAAAAATGTGTGTAAGGGCAGAATAGTTTAATGACTGACCGTAGAACTTTACACAGATGTGCAGCAGCTCGAGTTACCACTCTCCCTCCATGTAGCACACAAAGCAAGGGAACAGAGAGATTCAAAAGAGAGAGGGAAAGATAACAAACAGAAATGTGAGACAAAAAGAATAGTAATATGTAAGAATGATAGAATTTTAGTGGATATGATAAATCACAGAGAGTGAATGCATCTACACTGCCATTGACAACGATTTCCACCCATATTATGAATTGTCTCCAGGTGCCGTCATTGGTTTTCACCATCCCGAAGACCCGAACCAGCTAATCAGGAAGTTTACACCTCCCTACGTGTCTGGTCGGCTAGTTTAAACTAACTCTTGTGGATTTCATTGATTGATTAAGCCATGTTTTGGTTTGACCACTGCTAGCCAACTCTTTCCCAACCTCACCAATTCTGTGTCAGCTAACATTGCCTGTTGTCGAGGAAGTCATGTGGTGGCTAGGCCAGACATGCGTAACACGTCCTGATCATCTCTCTCATTCCATGTAACTTCACTGCACAACCTCGTCAATTGATTTTCATTCCTTATCTAGCACTCGACCGAGGCCTAAACTCAATATTGTTCACCTTGTTATACCAACTAACACACGGGAGATAGAACGCAGACACAAAATGATCAAAGACAGCCAATCAGGCTTTACGTGACTTCCATTTTCAGTGACCATGTCTCTCTCACAGCCGTAAAGGAGGGCAGAGCGGACTGCTGGGCAGTACACACGTTCTTTTGGTCGATAGCCAGTCAAATATCACGTCTACTAAGCCAGAGATGGCTTAAGTTGGCAGGCATATACCAAACGAGCCTTCTATATCCGTGCTGAAGTTTCGTCAGCGATCAGTTTGTTGGCTCTGGCTAATGCCACTTCTCAAATAAGTGAAGTGATCAACACGTCCTACGACTTTACCGCCTCCCTATCTCTAAGCTAGGAGTGAGTCAGTGTAGTTCAGTCCTGTGGTTTAATTGATTTATTTAGAATTTGAAAGATAAGATCAGTGATTTTATAACTATGAATTTTTGTGTAGGTGTGGTTGATAGCCTGCTCTATAGAACACACCTGTTCTGGGTAAATGAGTTCTTAGACTTATTTCTGTCATACTGATCTCTACGTTTATTTGTTCATTTAGATATCCTTTAAAAAGTTACAGTTTTGGAACAAAAGAACCTAATTATGAACGTGATAGAAGTGTGCCAGCTAGATTTCAACGTTTACAAGAAGATTTTGAAAAGTATGGAATGCGTCGTTCAGTTGAAGGCATTCTACTTGTACATGAACATAACCTGCCTCATGTTTTATTACTTCAACTTGGTACATTTTTTAAACTTCCTGGTGGTGAACTACATCCAGGAGAAGAAGAAATTGAAGGCTTGAAACGATTATTATCTGAGGTTTGTTTTCTATTTGATATATTTATTGTTTATTATTACTTGACGTCTTGGAGCCATTGTAGGCGTATGTTTCATCTTTAAGACAAATAGTATTTGGGTAATAGTGTCTGTAAGTATGGCATGTACTTTGCGCCGTCTAAGTGCAAAGTACTGTTACAAGGTTGGTAGGAGCCTGTACCTGCACTCATTCTTGCGGGTGAACCGCTTTAAGTTGTTGATAAGTTTGTTTATCTGGGTAGTTGTGTGAGTGCTGGCGGGGAGGGGTGACGGATGAGATTCCCGACCGTATAATGAAGGCTAGGGTGGCATACATCAACTTGAGTCACCTCTGGTGCCGTCACGATGTTAGCTTGGCTGTAAAAGGTCGGATGTACAATGCTTCGGTGTGGGTTGTCTTGCTCTACGCCTGTGAAACCTGGTCTCCGAGTAGGCTGATGATGTGCGGCGACTTTGCGTGTCTGATCATCGCTGTCTCCGCAGGATTGCTCGCGTGAGTAATTCTGAGGTTCGGTGGCGTGTGTCTGAACACAGTGAAGATCACCATTCATTGAGTGTCGTCATCTGGAAACACCGCCTCCGGTAGCTTGGACATTCGCTGCAAATGTCATCCCTGAGGCCCCTGTACCTGTCTCTGTTCGCTAGCCCTGGGACGGGATGGAAAAGGCGGAGGGGTGGTCAGTCCATGATGTGGCGTCGTGGGATGAAGGATGTTTGTACTAGATTAGCATCGGTTGGTGTGTCCTGACTCCCTGGTTGGGGTCCGCGAGATAGCTCGAAACGTTATCGGCTATGGCCAAGAATCGTAATCAATGGCGAACGTATTGCAATTTCCTTCTTTCTTCCCTTCCCGATGACAGTTGACGAATACTGTTTGAACTTGTTAAGTATGACTGTTTTTCTTCCAGATGAAGTTCTTTATCCGTTCTCTACTTACATTACTTTTTTTTAAATTTTGATCTATGTTGTTTTATTATTATTGTGTGGCGCATCTATCTTGGTACCATATTGTACCAAGTTTTTTCTGCGTTTAAATAAATAAATAAAATAGTAACCTATGCTATATATGTTCGTTATCAGAACAATAATAGGAATATAATTAGTACGATTCTATAAGTGCTACCATGATACAGTGGAGCTAAGCTCACTGGTGGTCAGAAATTTCATCCACCATCCCAGTAGCACTGACACAGCTGTCTAGATACACAGACTTTCAGAATATTTCCAATCAAAGTTAGTCTATGATAGGGTTGACGGTCTTCTGGTAACTGGCGGAGGGTGGTTACATGGTCGATACATCCACTATCTGAACGAAACATAACTTGTTCTTCGCGAATTAATTTTAAACGTATTTCATGTGCATCACGATATCAGTAATGGTTTTTTATGCAACTAGTAACAGATAAGTATCTCAATGATTGTCACATGCATTACTTAGAGTCGTCATCTGAAGTGGTGACGACTAGTGATGTTCGTCAATGATGCCCATTATCCCCATTTCTATTCAACTTCATCATAGATGTACTAATGGACTTAACTCTAACTCACTTCAGCGACTCAGGGATTGAATTGCTATCAGGGAATAATCTCGTTGACTTAGAATATGCAAACGATATAGTCCTTCTAGGCGAAGACGCTGGAAAAATGCAGAGTCTTCTGAACACCTTGAGCTGCAATCTACGAATGTTTGGCATGCGATTCACTCCCGCCAAATGCAGGATGATGTTACAGGACTGGACTACACCGACTTCTAGATAAGAAATAAGGAGTGAAGTGGTAGAGCACTTTGACCGCTCCACTTATTTGGGAAGTACCATCAGCCAGTGCCAACGGGTTGATCTCTGACGAAATCTCAGCACGGATACAGAGGGCTAGTTTCGCATATACCAGTTTACACCGTCTCTGGCCTAGACGTGATATCCGGCTGGCCATCGACTAAAGAGCGTGTGTATTGCTCATCAGTCCACTCCGTCTTCCTTTATGGCTGTGAGACCTGGCCATTGGGAGTGGAAGACATGAAAAGATTAGGTGTCTTAGATCATAGGTGTCTGATCATTCTATCTCCATGTGAAGTGGCAAAATAAGGTGAGCAACATTGAGGTTAGGCGTCGAATGCTAGGTGAGGAGGGGAAATCAATCGACGAGGCTGTGAAATTACATTGACTGAGATGGTTAGGAGATGTGTTACGTATGTCTAGTCATCGCCTTCCTCGACGGGCAATGTTAGCTGACATAGGGTGAGGCTGCAAAAGAGCTAGCGGCGGTCAAACCAAAGCATGGCCTCATCAGTTAATGAAATCCACAACAGTTAGTTTAAGCCACGTAGGAAGGTGTAGACTTCCTGGTTGGGGTCCTCGTGACGGTAAAAACCAGTGGTTGGAAACAATTGGTGATATGGCTCAAAATCGTTCTCAATGGCTGGTGCAGATGAATCCACTCACTGTGACTTATGATTTCCAATGAAACTATGTCGTTCTTCGTTATTACTATCCCTTTGTCTCACACTTCTGTTTACTGTCTCTATTATGCATTTCTTCTACTTTCTTCTCTTGGTTTGTGTGCTACATGAAGTGTAACGACTTGGATCGGTGCACATTTGTGCAAAGTTCTATGTCGAAAACAGACGGATTACTTAGACTGACGATACACACACACTCTTTAAAAAGAGACAGTAACGAGTTGCGTAGTCCAGGTGGCTCAGGAAGGTATGAGCACTTAAAATCACTATCTACCTCAGTTTCGTTAGGTGGATTAGAGTTAATCAACCATTGACCACTATGATATAGACCACTGAGTTCCAGAGGTACTTTCAGTCGGCTAATTCGGGGGGGGGCTTACTATCAGTCTCAAAGACAACCCCGATACCATGCTTCTAGCTGATAGGGAGGGGGACAGCTCCCTACTGCTGCCAAACTGACCACCAGAAATCGTGGGCCTTATGTAAGCGCTGTTTCATTTAAGGTTCACGCAAATCATCACACTCGCTATGCAACAGAATAGAGTTGATCAATGAGAGGGGGCATGAATTTTTAACTCAGTGTTTGGATAGCGTTACTAGAAGACGGAGATTATCTGAAAAAATATGTTGTATATGCGCCATACATTTCAAACAACCTGATCCCTCACACACTTACTTGTCAAGTCGATATATATGAAAGGTTAAATTAAACAAAGTGACAAACAAAGAATTAAGAATAATTAACACAAACGTTTGGTAATCCAATCAAATAAGGATTGCCAAGGTAGGTTAATAGTAATGACAAACTGTTTTTGAATGCACAAGGGCGGGGGGGGGAGGGCTTAAGTTTATGAATAGCTATAGCCTCGGCGTATTTCAATAAGCGCCCCTGACCGTTTTTATAAATGACCTTAAAGGCTGAGTTAACATCAGTCTTATGGTTCATTTCGATTAGGTGTTTAGCTATAGACGAAGTTGGTAGTCTGACACCTGCATCTATTGGTTTTTCACAATTCATTTGTCTTTTCTATCCATTTTGGGATATACTCTCCCACGCCTTCACATGCAAAGCACGATTACTCCTTCCTATGTATGTGTGTCCACACACACACACGAAAATTAGTAAGTAGTGTGTTTGTTAGAGAGACATTGTTCCAACCTCCAGGCAATTTTACTGGCCATCTTCATGGTTTCTTCGAAGTGTTAACACTGTCCTGGAGCTTTTCCATGGATAAATAACATATTCGATTTCAAGAGAGTATCCTTTTGTTATAGTTCTAAGGCAACATAAAGTATCCTTTTCGTGTGTGTGTGTAAGTTTCCTTCAAGAGCCACATGGAAACCAGCATCCAGCTTTCCTCTGTTGTAACTAAGCTTGAAATAGTTGTTTCTGTTCGAATCCCGTCTACCGCACTAGGTATATGCGAGTATTCAGTGACGTTTTGTTCTCTGCGTATATATATATATATATATATATATATATATATATAATATTGTTATGTTGTTTTATCCTTTCAGATGTTAGGTCGTACAGATGGTGTTCCAGTCGATTGGATTCCAGAAGACTGTATTGGTAATTGGTGGCGACCAAATTTTGAACCACCTCGTTATCCATATATTCCTGCGCATATTACTAAACCAAAAGAACATACCCGCCTATTTTTAATTCAGTTGCCTGAAAAAACCCTGTTCGCTGTACCATCAAATTATAAGCTAGTTGCAGCTCCACTGTTCGAATTATTTGATAATGCTAGAGCCTATGGTCCAATCATTTCTTCTCTGCCTCAAGTATTAAGCCGGTAAGTGAATTGAATGCACAAACACACCCGCACACATACACACACACGAAAATAAAGAAATTTCATCTAATTTGTATTAAATAATCCAAACTGCTTTCGATCATAGATGTCTGCGATCCCTGCCTCACGTTAGGTGGTTTCACAAGATAAGTAATGTTGACATTAGGCGTAGAGTGTTGGGCAAAGAGGGAAAATCAATCGACGAGGCTATAAAGTTACATAGACTAAGATGGCTAGGTCACGTGCTGCGCATGCCTAACCACCGCCTCCCCCGACGGGCATTGCTAGCTGATATAGGTGAAGGTTGGAAAAGAGCCAGTGGTGGCCAAACAAAAACATGGCCTCATCAATCCATGAAATCCTTGACAGTTAAACTGAGTCAGGTAGGGAGATGCAGACTCCCGGGTTGGGGCCCTCGGGACTCTAGGAATCAATGGCTGGAGACAATAGGTGACATGGCTCAAAATCGTTGTCAATGGCGCAGATGTATTCAGTCTCTGTAATCTTTCATATTCCTTTCTACCATTACCCATTCTGTTTCACTCTTATACTTATCAAACTCTATTGATTCTCTCCACTCATCTTCTTGTCTACCTCAGTGTGCTATTTGGAACGTGGCAACTCGAACTGCTGCACTTCGGTGCCAAGTTCTATGTTGAATCCAGACAGACAGACAGAAATAATCCAAAAAAGCTTCCCGGTTCTGATGAAAACACATAGTCTGCCTATTATGATCTTTATAAAACTTTGTTTGTAATTTAGGTACTTAATAATACCAGTATACAGTGTGTTATTAGATAGTTGAAGGCAATAGGGAAAGAAAGCCTTGTCTGACCTAGGTTTCGTGCTAGTTGGCTGGTACTCAACCAGTCAGTCAGCAAGGCGTGTAACTGTAAGCTCCTTGAATGAACTCGTTTCCCTTCTAAGAACTAGCGTTGTAACAACAGAAGACAAGGGCCAGGCAACAGATCGTTTTTTATTAAGGAAATCAACACGTATTTATATATATTTCATGTACATTATTATAGCTTATTCAAGCAGACAAACACAGTCTTCTGATTTGTTGTTTCTCACAGAAAGTTGAGCTTGCATTTCGTTGTGACTGTTTCTTGAATGTCAGGTCATCATCTATATGTTAACTTTATCTGCCCAAGCAAAGTCTGCTGTGATTGGTTGTTGAATCAGTTTTGTCCATATTTTCTCACGATCAATATTGGGGACATAAGCATTGACGTAAATAAATGTCTACCAACCTGGCTAGCGGCCTGCTCTCACCACAGCGTCACCCAGTGAGTGCTGCAGTCAGTCAGAGATGTTACCACTGAGGGAAAAGTTAAACTTTAAGTACCACCAACTACCAATCAGCGAATGACCTCGAACGCACCAATCACATGAAGGAGGCATTTTTGTGTATGGAATAGAAACTGTATAAAAGTGTTACAGAAGATACTTTCCTCTTACATGTTATAAAAATATCTTCCACTTTTAGGTTGGTGTATCAACAGAGCATAAATTCCGTTGTGGGTAAAATTTATTTTGATAAAGTCTCATAATGTAATACAGTAATATTTACTGAACAATAAGTTGTGCTCGAAATATAGTCATTAGTAAATATTGCTGTATAACACTGTGAGAATTTATCAAAATAAAGGTTACCAACAATGGAATTACACTCTCCTACAGTGCACAAGTTTTATTCTTATATCAAGAAAGTAATTTAGCCAAATTCTATGCATGTAATTGTTGGGGTCTTCTAACCCTAACAATAACCTGAATCTTCCCTGAATCTAACCCTAACATGAAAATATCCCTAAACTAATCGTAATCTAACTCGAACTAATCGTAATGTCGCCTTTATTAGGTTAACCTAGCCCTAACTTGTCCTTGGCTTAAAGCGTAACTGAATCTTTCCCAAACTTAAGCGGAAACTTCCCAGATATCCCATTTAATTGATAACATAACACTTCGATGAGCATATTTTATTGATGGTGACAACATAACTTGCCAAATTTCACTGACTAACTTGCTCAGTAAACATTTCAAGGTCATTGGTGCGGTCGCACTCCATTGGTAGTTGGTTAGTGGTACTTAAAGTTTAACTTGGCCCCACTGAGCCATTCGGACTGGCGATTGACCTCCTGTAGGACTGACTGACTGACTGATGGTATTTGGATACCTTGATTAAACACTAGTTAGTCAATAGTGTAATGTGTTTAGTCTTTTGTTTGATACAGACTGAATTGTGTCAGTCAAGTTTGTTACATGCAGCGAGTCAGACTAAGATCGTTATAAATTCATGAATATGTTAAAACACATATAGCCTTTAGAGGCATGTGAAAATTATATCAGAAAGTGTTTTTATTGGGGTACATGTTGTATAGTATGGGAGTGATAGTTCAGTATTGAATATTGTCAAAAGAACGTTTGATTGGACACTTCAGTAACTAGTGTGACGTGTCTAGTCCTTCTTTTCTTTGGTGCAGACTGAATTCTATCAGTCAGTCAGTCAGGTTTGCAATTTGGCCACCATGCCACTAGGTTGCTCGCCATCACGGTGCACATTGATTTGATGATATATTAGATAGTTGGAGGCAATCGGCCACAGGGAGCCACACCTGACCTAGGTTTCATGCTCGTCAGCAAAGCGTATCTGAAACTGCCTCGAAGGAACTCGTGTCCCTTCTGGGATTCGAACCCGCGTCATCCACTACAGTCCTACACGAGGTCAATCGTGAGCTCGAATAGCTCAGTGGTAACGTCTCTGACTGCAGGTGGCACTGGATGATGGGGGTTCGAATTTCAGAAGGGATATGAGTTCCTTCAAGGCGGTTGCAGATACACCTGCCTTGCTGTCTGGTGAGTGACAGCCAACTAGCACAAAACTTAGGCGGTGTCCAAGGCTTCCTTTGACCGATTGCCTCCAACTATCTAATATCGTCAAATGAACGTATATAAAATGTGCAGTCATTCATAATATAAGATATAGTGTGAATAGACGAATGAGAGAGATACACCAATGCATTTGTAGTCGACAGAATATAAGTTCCATTGGGGAAGAGGGTGGGGGTGAGTTATTTTCAGTTGTGTGCAAGAGAAATGACTACCACAAAATACAAACAAAGAAATACCAAAATAAATGGGGAACATTGAATGTAAATTCAACCAAGGGCTGACAGATGTCAAGTGTTTGTAGTGATAAAATAAAGAGGTTAAATTGTGAACTGTAATCAAATACATACTAGAGACATAATAATCTAATTAGTATAAATTACAAAAGGTTGACATATAATAAAGGCAGTGGAGTAAAGCGACCTAGGTGAAAAGGAATAAGAAAGCTGTTTCATCCTAGTTTGAGAATCATCGGAAGTACACACCCACCACCAGGGTTCGAACCCAGGACCTTCCGGTTACAAGGCAAGTTAGCTCGTATACCATTCAGCCACTGGGACCCGAATCATTGGCCACCCAATGAATTCTAACTTCTACCAATTCGTGATGCATTTACCGCGACCCCAACCATTGTCGTTGGTGGGACATCCATCCACACATGTGACATCTAATTGGACCTCACTGGTCACGACTTCTCACTAGAACTTACAAGAACAGGAAACTCCATCCTGTAGCAAGTCACTCACTAGCGAGCATCACATTAATTTTCTATAGTTTGGTTTGTAAACCCAAGGAGTACTGGACAGCTGCTGTTTCATCCTAGTTTGGGAGTCATCGGCTGTTCAGTATTCCCTGGTTGGTTTTCAATGGTTCTCTTACTGATGACATCAATCCGTGATCAACTCGTAAAAACATAATTAACCCTTACAAACCAAACTATAGAAAATAAGAAAGCATTATATATATATGTATATATTTGCGTTCATTTGACATTATTTTTCATATTCAGTTATCTACAACCATAAACTTTAGTCGAACATAATTATTAAAATTCTGATGCAAAAGTACAACACACACTGTGTTTACAGTGTTTAACAAAGTAGTAGACAAATGTGTTTTTGTCAGAAATTTGAGGTGAAATTTTCATCACAGTTCATGCAGTTTTGTAAGGACCTTAAGATGGGGGGAAATTATTCAAAAGAATATTTCTTTGTTCAGATTGACTTTTAATTCATTGATATGGGGAATATATTATTTCAATATTATTAAATTTAATGTGTAACTGAGAGTTTGTTCATATTTCGCGTTTATTATTATTGTTATTATTATTATTATTTTTACAGTTTCAACTTTGCCTACAATGACTAACCGTCATCTGTTGAACGTTGTAACTAAAAGGAGAACAAACGTGCGTGCGTGTGTGCGTGCTCGAGAGAGTGTACAGACAGACAGTGAAGACATAAAACCAACTATATAAGAAAGTAGAAGCCTAAAATGCCTTTAACTACCGTTATTTGCTTTTTGTTATCATTGTTATTATTGTCGTTGCTGTTATTATTATTATTATTATTATTATTATTATTATTATTATTATACATTGTATGCATAAAATCGAATTATTCAATCAGCCCAAGTTATTGTTCACTGGTCTTATAAACCTACTTGTTTATTGGTTTGTTAATTATATAATAATAATAATAATAATAATATTAGTAATTATCATTATTTACTATTATCCCTATCATTATTGTATTATAGGATATTTTATACTAATCATTACTATGTATATATTGTTTGAATATTTTGTGTATGTGGGTATAGGCGTCATGTGCACATGTGTGTGCATATCCATGTATGTGTATAAATATCTATTCTTCAAGCTTAGAAATGTACATATATGACTGTCTATATTGTTTGTATGTATGTATGTCTGTCTATTAACGGACTTGGTTGTAAATGCCCTATGTCATTTACTTCGTTTTATTTTTGTCCTTTTTTGTAATAAAATAATTTCAGTTATCATCACGTTTCTCCCTCTTGTTCTTTTTCAATCCTAGAATGAATAGTAATATTATTATTATTGTTCCCTTGGGTTCCTAGTAGACCATACGGCTTCAACTGCACGTCTCCACTTGCTTCTGTCTTCTGCTGTACTTTTCACATGCATCCATGTTAGTTAGTCCATACTGTTTCAACGCCTCTTCACACGATCTCCTCCATGTCACCCTCGAACTGACGTCCCACATGCCTCTTCCCTTTCGGTCTGGTTCCACTCGAGCAATGGCTTGACGCGCGCGCGATGTCACCCAGTGGCGGCCTCCTCAGCCGCGAGTGTCCAATCCATCTCCACTTTCTCCTCGATATGGGTTGGTTGGCGATTGGTTCTTGTTTTGTTTGTTCCCAGCCATAGTTTCTTGTTGGTGATTCTTTCCGGCCCGGCCGGCCATCTGATCTTCAGTATAGAGCCAGCGAAGACAGTTGTTGGTTGATAAAGGTTGGTCTGCAACAGGCTGTTGGAAATATTCTTTGTGACCCACCCGCCTGACAAGTTTCTGATCCGTATAGAAGAACTGACTGACTGACTTGACGTTGTTTGTATTGAAAATCCGACCGAAATTTGTTGTTGATGCTGGCTGAGTGACAAAGATTTCCAGATTGGTTTCAAGTTGATGAACAACGTGTTTCTCGCCTTCTCGATTTGACATCATCGTCCGTTCTGACTGGCTGTAGTTGAGACAATGCTCCCTAGATAAGCGAGTGAATGAAGTGAGCTCTTTCAAATCCCTCCCGTTGATGGTGATTGGCGCTGGATTTTGCTGCTGTTGTTGTTGTTGGTTGGTTATTTTCATAACCTCTGTCTTGTCTTTGTTCACCTGGAGTCCTGTCTTCGCCGGCTGCTTCTTCGACCAGTTTGTCGGTTTTCGCTTGTAAGTCTTCGACTTTGTGTGACATCAAACATAAATCATCCACGCGCGAAATCCAGGTGTACTAGGTTCTTCACGTCGGTCGGTCCAGGATATCCCTGTCTTCTCGTTTCCCATTGTCTGACGCATAATGAATGAATATTAATATTAAGTAATTTATTACCATTAATGCTTATCCCTCCTTGTGTGTGTGTGTGCTTGTGACTTTTGCCTAGTTTACGACTGGGATGAAATTTCCACTTCGTACCTTCCTACCTACTTATCTATCCTACCTACACTACAATGTAGTGTTTATTTGTTGGGGGTGGGGGGGGTGGGCTTTAATAGGCTTCGTTCCTCTCTCCAGTACAAAAGAAATATTTAGGTAAAACCCTCAACCACAGGGTTCGAGCTGCTATATGCTCACAAGAGGTAATTGAAGATGAATTAAGCATTGTATACGATACCTCAAAACACACGACAAAGAAAGCCGAAAAGGTGTCTACTCACTAACTGTAAACAAGAAGCCACTTTATGTGCATACGACTGAAATTCAAGGGTGATATACCTAGCGAAATAATTACGAAGAAATTCAGTTCAAAGAACTTTTAAATGCTCTGGCGAACTATACGTTTTATTCTCTACACGACCGATGGTGATACCTTAATTGAAAGATGAAGTCTGTCTGTCTGTCTGTTTTCGACATAGAACTTTGCACAAATGTGCGGAAGTTCAAGTCGCCACATTCCGTGTAGCACGCGAAGCAAGAGAAGAAAGTACAAGAAAAGCATAATAGAAACAGTGAGCAGAGGTGTGAGACAAAGGAGTAATAAAGAAATACAAAACAGTTTCATTGAAGATCATAAGTCACAGGGAGTGGATGCATCTGCGCCACTGAGAACGATTTTGAGCCATGTCACCAATTGTTTCCAACCATAGATTTTTACCGTCCCGAGGACCCCAGCCTGGAAGTCTACACCTTCCTACGTGGCTTAGACCAACTGTTGTGGATTTCATTGACTGATGCCAAGTTTTTGTTTGACCGCCGCTAGCTTTTTTCCAGCCTGACCCTATATCCGCTAACATAGCTCGTCGAGGGAGGCGATGGCTTGGCATACGTAACACATGTCCTAACCATCTCAGTCTTTGTAGCTTCACGACTTCGTCGATTGATTTCCCCTGTTTACCTAGAACTCTACGCCTAACCTCCATGTTGCTCACCTTATTATGCCACTTTACACGGGAAATAGAACGCAGGCACCTATGATCAAAGACAGCTAGTCTTTTCATGTCTTCCACTCTCAGTGGCCAGGTCTCACAACCATAAAGGAGGACGGAGCGGACTGATGAGCAGTACACCCGCCCTTTGGTCGATAGTCGAACATCTCGTCTACGCCAGAGTCGGCGTAAACTAACAAATGCGAAACGAGCCCCTTGTATTCGTGCTGAGATTTCGTCAGAGATCAGCCCGTTGGGGCTGATGGTACTTCCCAAATAAGTGAAGCGGTCAACGTGCTCTACCACTTCACTTCCTATTTTTAAACTAGGCGTCGATGTAGTCCAGTCCTGTAACATCATCTTGCATTTGGCGGGAGCGAATCGCATGCCAAACATTCGTAGATTGCTGTTCAAGGTGTTTAGAAGACTCTGCATTTCGTCAGCGTCTTCGCCTAGAAGGACTATATCGTCTGCATATTCCAAGTCAACGAGATTATTCCCGGTAGCAAGTCAATCCCTGAGTCGCTGAAGTCACCTAGGGTTAAGTCCATTAACACATCTATGATGAAGTTGAATAGAAAAGGAGATAATGGGCATCCTTGACGGACACCACTGGTCGTCATCAGTTCAGATGACAGCTCGCCGTAAGCCCTCACCTGGCTGTATGAGTACGAATAGAGTGCCTTAATCAGTGCAATATATTTTCTTGGAATTCCCTTTACAGCCAAGCATCTCCAGAGAACTTCCCGATCGACAGAGTCGAATGCTGCCTTTAGGTCAAGAAATATAATGACTGTTGGACGCCGGTAGGAATGCCTATGTTCTAGAATCTGTCGGAGGGTGAAGATATGATCAATACACCCTCTTCCTGGTCTAAAGCCTGCCTGGCTCTCTCGTGTTTGTGCTTCCCGAGCACCACTCAGTCTACGCATGATTATTGAGCCTAAGACTTTAGATACTATATTAGTCAAGCTAATCCCTCTGTGATTATCACAGGAAGACTTGTCTCCCTTCTTGTATATGGGGATAATCAGTGACTTACACCAACCCGATGGGACTTCTTCTGATTCCCAAACGCTGCCTAGTACCTCAGTTAATCCGGACAGTAAGCTGTCTCCACCGTACTTAAATACCTCTGGAGTCATTCCATCAGGTCCCGCTGCTTTGCCTAGTTTCAGATTGGTGACAGCTTTAGTAACCTCAGTTAGTGACGGAGGACCTGTATCTATATCCCATTCAGGGAGGTGTTGGATGCTCGGAAGGTTGAGCGTGGCTGTGGGCAAATTAAACTGCTCCTCATAATGCTCTTTCCAACGATCCAGTCGTCTATCCTGTGAGCTAATTATAGTGCCATTTTTTTCCGAGATTGTCTCACTAATGATTTGTCTTCTCCCACCCGTTTCCCTGATGAGTCCAAAGAGTTGCCTGGTGTTGCCTATCCTCAAAGCTTTCTCCATCTCTTTGGCTTTTGTCGCCCACCACTGTTCACGGTCCTTGCGGAGACTTTTCGTAAGTTTCCTCTTGTGCAGCTTTCGCTCCTCATTGAATTCGGAGCTCGCCGGAATAAGTCTTCTAGCATCTATCAGTTCGGATGAGGCGGTGGAGATCCAGTGGTTTTTACTCACCTTTGGGTTTACCTTATTCACAGCTTTTACAGCTGTATCTATGGCTGCCTGGATATTTTTCCAAGCTTCTTCAGGGTGAGCACAGCTGTCGAACACAGATATGTGTTTAGCTAGTTCATGAAGTACCTAGACTAGACTAGACTAGCCACTTCTAATTGTATCTACACAAATTGAACTGCGCTTTTAGTGGAGCTAGTTACATTGGCCGTTGCCCTAGGAACTTGATTTTTCATGCTTGTTCGAGAACATCTCCCATTATGGTGTAGTGAAAGCCATCAACATTTTGATATTTTAGACCACCTGGCCACAAAGCCAGCCAACATTGAAGAATCCTTCTCCATCATCATCATCTACCCGGTACCAAATAAATTGCCCCAAAAAAAACATTAAGGTACTGCATGCTTCGAATAGCAGAGGCTATCGCAATTCGCGTGAAACAACCAGCGCTTTGTGTGCAAAAAGAAACAATTCCAGCTAGTCATTACTACTGCCCTGGCCTGCCTTCAGTAGAGACTATAAATTCATAAATTTGTATTATTAGCTTATCTGAATTTTTCTGACATTCAGTTTATTGTTATGATGATGTTATCTTACTTACTTACTTTACTTTACTTCGGCTATC